ATGATTGAAAAGCACAGGAATTAGCAAAATGAAAAAAAAAGCAGATTATATGTGATAGAATCTTTAAGGTTCTTGTACAAGTTAATAATGAATATTTTTCTCAGCCTAAAAAATGTTGTTTCACAGAGGGGTCATTTTATGTAAAGAATGAACCAAAACCCTGATGTGGCAGGGCAGTCATACCATGACCCTTTGTATCGAGCCCTTTATTTCCATGCAGAATGGCAGCTTCCAACCTCAGTGATGATGGTCTCCCAGCCACTCTGTTCCTGACAGGGATCCCAGGGCTGGAGTGGGCCCACATCTGGATTGCCATCCCCTTCTGTTCCATGTATCTGGTAGCTCTGGCTGGGAATGCTGCTCTCATCCTGGTCATTGCAACAGACAGTGCTCTTCATGCACCCATGTACCTCTTCCTGTGTCTTCTCTCGCTCACTGACCTGGCTCTCAGCTCTACCACTGTGCCCAAAATGCTGGCCATTTTGTGGCTCCATGCTGGTGAGATTACCTTTGGTGGATGCCTGGCACAGATGTTTTGTGTCCATTCTATCTATGCTCTGGAGTCCTCAGTTCTTCTTGCCATGGCCTTTGATCGCTACGTGGCTATCTGCAACCCACTGAGATATACAACCATTCTCAACCATACCGTAATAGGCAAAATTGGCTTTGCTGGGCTTTTCCGTAGTGTGGCCATCGTCTCCCCATTCATCTTCTTGCTGAGGCGACTGCCTTACTGTGGTCACCATGTCATGGCACACACATACTGTGAGCACATGGGCATCGCTCGCCTGGCCTGTGCCAACATCACTGTCAATATTGTCTATGGGCTGACTGTGGCTCTGCTGGCCATGGGTCTGGATTGTATCCTCATTGCCATTTCCTATGGCTTTATCCTCCATGCTGTCTTCCACCTGCCATCTCAAGATGCCAGGCACAAGGCTCTGAGTACCTGTGGTTCCCACCTCGGAGTCATCCTGGTCTTCTACATTCCTGCCTTCTTCTCCTTCCTCACCCACCGCTTTGGGCAGCACCGAGTCCCCAAGAATGTGCACATCTTTCTGGCAAACCTCTATGTTCTGGTGCCTCCTGTGCTTAACCCAATCATCTATGGAGCTAAGACCAACGAGATTCGGAGTCGCCTTCTGAGACTGCTTCACTTGGGGAAAATTTTAACGTGATATTTGAGCAGTTTGGAGATAAGGAAAATAAGTGGGTATGGTAGCTGTCTAGGTGCATTTACATGGATGGAGATCTCTGATATACCAGAAATGTCTTACAGGAGATGAAGCACTGGAAAAAAGAAAGTTAGATGAATTGAAGATTTCAAAAATTATATCAAACATACCATAATCTTGAGGCTCCCAGTATAACTCTGAAGAGCTCAGAAAGATGATAGTATTTTTACTCTTGGGAATATTTTACAATTAGGAATAAGCGCACCTTGGAGAAAACTCAGCAACTATGATATTCCAGTGTAGAATGTGCCTAACATTTTTTTCTTTTGCTGCAAATGTTTCTGTGACTTACTAAAGATCAAGTCAATTCCTCTTCTTAATTGAGTCCGGGCTTCATACTGGAATATTCTTCTGTGAGTCCAAGTTTTTAAAAAAATGAACATTTGAGGTAAATGTCATCTGATTTCCAATGCTTTGGGTAGCCATGAAGAGCACAAAGTCTAAAGTTAGAGTACCTGGGTTTGAGTCCTTGTTTCTCTGCTTACTAGCTTTCTGACCTTGAACATGTTGCTCAATCTTTCTGTGTCTCGGATTAACCAACTATCAAAAGGATGATGTTAATATCTGACTCTTTTTTTTTAATATCTAACTCTTAATGCTATTTCTAAGATTAAGTAAGTTAACAAATGTAGGAAACTCAAGATAGTGGATACATGTAAAATTATCAATAAATAAATAAGAGAATCTTATATAAACTTGGAAATTATTAGCCAACTCATAAGTTATTTAGGACTATTTTTCATTACATTATTTTGCAGGGTTATTATAATAACTATGTTATACAACATCTCTAAAATATTTAGATAGTGCTTGGGATATGAATAGTGATCATTAAAACTGTATTTCTCCCATCCCTCCTCTGGTCTTCCATTTGGAAGTCCCTTTCCTTTTAGCCATAAAGTTATCCCTCATTCAGGAATCATAGAGACTTGGTCAAAATCCAAATTGCTTTTTTGATAGCCCTCCTTTGCCCTAGTTACCTCAGTTCTAAAATACCCAAGTAAGTCCCCAATTACTGCTCCCAATAATTCAAAATGTGCTTATCACCTGCAATTTAAATTAAGAGTCTGTGACTCAGAGAGGCTACTATTCCTAAGGTTATGCATCTATATGGGCCATAACTCATGCATTATCCAGAATGCAGTATGTGTGAGAACACCAACCTGCACGAACACAGAGCAACAAAAGTGAAGACCCTTTGTCTCTTGAGGTAGTAAATGGTAAAGAGACCCAGCAGTGTAATGATTTCAGGAACAGAGAAAAAATATATAAAAAGAAACTGAAGGTGGAGATGGGCAAGGGCACGGCTGTTCTCCCCTTGAAATGCTTCTTTGTGGGTCTTGTGCCTGCTCCCCTTAAGATGCTGGCTTCATTTGATCAAAAGGTCACCCTCAAAGGCAACTTGTCACCATTCACACTAATTATCTGTCATGAAACTCACATTTTCCTTAGAAGAAAGTGGGGGTCAGGAACCCAGGAAGTTAGTATCAAAGGCAGGGCCAGGATTCAGGACTCTGGACTCCATAGTAATATTTAAAATCCTACCTGTGGACTAGATTTCCAGGACCACAGAGCCATAAGGGACTTGATGGACTGGTAAGGAAATTCAGGTGCATGAGTAGGCAAATGATGTGTCTGGTATTGGGCCACAAGTCCCATAGCTTGCAGCCTAGTGCTCCCTCATCTCACCTACAAATTCATCAATCATTCATCATAACTCTTGGGCTATCCTCCTCTTCTAGCTATGTCTGTGGCCTCAGAGGAGGTCAAAGGAGAAAGGTCAAACGGATAGCGCAGAGACTAGAAGAGGAGGGGTGCAGGATCCCACAGAGGACAACACCGTAGCACAGGGGTCTAGCTGCGACCTATACTCTGGACTGATACCCTGTGGATACAGCACAGGGCCTTCTTCCCCATGGTTTTCCCTTATTGACCAAACTCCAAGTTTCACATACCATAGATAACAGACAGGTGGAGGATTCTGCAGCCCTGACAGCAAGCTCTGCTCCCTAAAGCTCTGGTTTAGGCTTTTTTATCATCCTGAAGCTAAAATGCAATAGTTCCTAGAAGAGAAGGGTGATGTGTAGAAGCCAATAGACCTTCTAGATGACTGCGGGTAGCAGGATCCAGTCCCTATTAACCTTATTGCCAAGATCTCCCATCCCACTCAGGTGTCTGGCTACAGGAGCCCACAAGATAAAGGAGAAAGCATGCTTCTAGAAGCCCAGGAGACTGCCCTGCCCATTACACCCACTTCACCCCCAGACTCCTTCTCTTCCCTGGGAAGAATTAGTGTACAACACTAATCTCAGAAATTAAGACCAAGATCCTGGTTCCACAGAAAAGTGAAAATTAAACTGTGTATCAGGATCATTGATGGGCCATGCAGTCCCAAAGATATTATGCACGGTCCCTGACTGCCACAATCTTCAGGTCTCTAGGCTCATGCAAGTCACAACACAAGTCACAGTGTGCAGCTCAGAGATGTCCATCTTTTCAAGCCCCCAGGAAGCATGAGATTCAGTTGTTTTTCAGCCCAAGCTCCTAGGGCTGGCTCTGAATCTATAGTCTCTGGTGTCCCCAAAGTAATGTCTCCAATATGCTTCCCACCTCTCTTTCATCAGGTGGTATCCTGCTACAGTTTCACATGGCCCTTGGTCCTCTGGGGCACATTCTGTGTGCCTGTACTGTGAATCACCTCAATGACTGATCAGAGTCTACAGAAGAGACTGGGTGGATTGGGAAAATATTGGGGACTTTCACCAAGACACAGGGACCCCAGAATGTAGAGTTGGAATGGGGCCTGGGGAAAGATGTTGAACTACATCTGGCCATGCTGAGCAGAGGTTCCTCTGTGACACCCAAGAGAAGGCTGGTAGGCCTTGGAAAGTACAAATAGACTCAGAGATGAAGGAACCACGAACACAGACATTAAGAATCACAGCCAAAGATATGGTCAAACTCCCTGAAAGATTAATAGAGAAAGAATCAGTGTAACATACTCTCAGGAAGCACCACTCTATAAAAATAAAACCAAAAAATGGATAAGAAAATAGATTAAATAAAACAGCTTAAAGAAATACAGGTCAGTATGTCAGATTCTGTACAAAACTGAAAAAAAAATGGGAAGATGGGGAATGAGAAAGTTTTGAGAAAGTTTCTACACCATCCTGGGGGTGTCTGACTACAGAGGATGGGGAGATGGGGTCACTTTTGAGAAATTCAGGGATGAAAGGAGAGAGAAGTTCGGTGGCTGAGAGGGCAGCAGAGTCAAGGATTTTACAGTGTGAAAGGAAGAAGCCTGCCCAGGAGGAGAGGATGGGGCTTCAGAAGTGGTGGGGGTTCACCTCACAAAGCACGGATCCTGACACAAGTAGATAAGAGAGAAAGAGTCCAAGCTGAGACGGGGGTTGCCAGGCTTTCTATAATATGGAGAGACTAGGTCTGAAGATGGAGATATTTGGTGAAAGAGAGTGTGGCTTCCTGGGGGAACAAAATCCAGGATTCCTTCAGAGTCATTCTGGAGTTGGACCAGAGGTGGCTTGTGATGATGATGACAATGTTGGTGAAGAATTAGATTGCTGATATCACTCAGGACGTCCCCACCTCACATTTAAATTTGGAAAACACTCTGAGGTTAGGAGTATGAGAATATGTGCAGCCCAGACCCAAGACCCTATAACAGGATCAATCTCTTTCCCAAAGAGCATTCTCTTCACCCACCTACCCCCAAACTGACATCACACATGAGATCCAAGCAATTTTTTTAATGTAGAACAGGCTTGGGCAGTGAGGAAGGGGGCTGTTCAAGTGTGCACATGATCTAAGAGGAATTCAAAATATGTTACTTCCCCTCCCCTCCAGTTCCCCTTCCTTTTCCTCCTTCTCCACTGTGGGCATCCACTGGAGGGACCTGGGCCTCTGGTACACCCAGCAGCCTCTCAATGGCAGCATGAATGTCTCCTCCTGTGGCCATGAGGGCCTGTAGATTGGCATCATGATTAGCAAAACCCATGGCCTTCAGATGCTCCAGTTCTTGCTGGTAGCAGCCTTCAATGAGGAGGGATGAAGATAATGAGGCTTGTGTGGACTGGGAGCAGGCATTGGACAATGCATGGAGAAGCTGAAGAATGGCCAAGGTGGGCTGCACAGAATCTGCTCTCTGAATCTGCCCTCCACCCCTGGTTTCAGGGGGTTCTCTAGTCCCATGTGACCTACCTGGGCCCCATAAGCAAGGTTCCAGCCCAGGCACCTCCTTGGACAGTGTCTGCAGGCCCTTTTCTATCTGGATCAATGCCTGCAGTGCACGTGGGTTGGTCAGGATGGGAAGTAGTGACATATGATGTCGCAGGGGGCTTCCACTTGCCAACTGGTGTAGCAGAGCTGGATTTTGCTGCAGGACATGCAAGGCTCTACGCAAGGCAGAGGGTGAGGGTCTCAGCTGACTGGTGAGAGGGGCTCTTCCTACAGGCTGCTGGATCTCCTGGGAGAGAAGATCCTGACTTGAGTTGACATCTGGCACACCAGTCCCACATCCTGAATTGGCCTGATTTGAGGCCACGCCCCTGGCCTGGGTAACATCTCCTACCCTGACCTTCTGCACCAATGGCCTTGCTGGGGCCAAGGCTGTGGGGATGGTGGCAGTAGTGTCAGTATCGATGTGAGCACTGGCCACCTCTTTGCAAAGCTCTGAACCTGGGTTGTGGCCTTTGGAGGTAACCAGTGGGGCCAGAGTGAAGAGCATGAGCTGCTGGATATCAGAGCAGACTGGACGCATGGCATTGTCACCGCCCGGCACTACCTTCAGTGCCTCTAGCCTCCGCTTATCTTCCTGCAGGAGTTCCTGTTGCCGGGACGGGTCCTGCAAGGTTTCCAGAGCCTTAAGAGCTGGTTCAGGTTTCTGTACTAGCCTTGAGGATTTGGGAGTATGGCTAGTATTGGCTGGTTTCTCATTTGCCAGGCCTTGAACCACAGGGCTTTCCAAGAACTGCACCACCGACTCAGGTGCGGCCATCAGGAGTTGAGCCAGCTGGCCAAGAAAGTCGGCCAGCTCAGGAGAGCTACGGGCCAGCCGGCCCAGCCTGCCCAGCATCCCAGCACTCTCCGAGGTGGATGGTTCAGAACGATGCATGCAGTGGCCAGCAGGGCCTGACAGAGTTCCAGGACCAGGCAGAGTTCCTTTCAGACGGGTCCTCACCACCAAGTGGACTGTAGTGCCATCCAGGATGCCACGCTGGCTCAGGATGTCTTGATCCCGGAGGATCTTTCCAGTGAAGATGAGCACCAATCGGTTGGTGTCACAGTGAAGGCGTTTGGAGATCTGTTTCTTAAAGTGGTGGACACTGCTATTTTCTGCCAACATAAATTCCTGGCAGTCCCGTGGGGTCTTGACAGACACTCTGATGATGTGTGATGACAGCTCCCTACCAGATACCAGCCGGCTGTCCCCTGCTTCTTCCCTAGCCTGAGCCATATTTCTTCAAAAGAGGAATGCAGGACTGCAGGACCACTCGAGGACCTGTTGAAGCCCAGGTGCAGGAATAAGCACACCTTGGTGCAGGGACCAGTAGGTGTTGAGGAAGGTCCACTCATACACGACCTCCAGACACTGCTTCCTAACGTAGCCTCGAGGTCACCTGGCTCCCATAGAGGTGTTGGCTGTCCTTCTCCAGGGCCAGACTTAAGGGATATGACATCAGTGATGATGTCACAGTTAAGAAGTAGACCCTCATGGGGGAAGGGCAGAGGTCTCCCCTACCTGCCAGAGGTTGGCTCTCTTCACAATTTGACTTCAAGAGCAATAGAGAAAAATTAAATGTTTCTGTCTAGAAACCTGCTGTGCACCAGCCTATTTCACTTTTGAAAATCATACCACCTGAGATTGGTAAACGAGTATAGCTAAGTAGGAAAGTACGGGTCTGAGAACTGGCTCAGGAAGTGCTGGTTCTAGTCACCTACCTTGTGATGAATGGGCTGTATACTGACCATGGCCCAGTCAAGGCCACAAGTTCCCTTGTTTCCATATGAATAGAATGAAGATGTGTACAGTTAGTCCATTCAGCTTCAGCGGGAGCTTGAGGGCAGCTTGTGTCTCCAAGGCCCACCAGGCTGAGTAACTCATCCACGCAGTTCTAAGGAAAACAGCATCATGTTCCCAAAGAAATTCTGGACTAAGTTGTTCTCAAAGACAGAAACTATGATCTCAAGTCTCCGGGATTAGAGCTAAGGCAAAATAAGTTATAAGAAAGTAATAATTTTACTCTAGATCTTTATGACTTAATAGTGGTTAGATTTAAGATCTATTTGAAGAGGAAAACTGTCGCTTGGAAGCTGACATATTTCAGCTGCAAAAGCAGAAAAGTGATGATTTTCTAAGGCATTGTTTTGGCCACTCCAGGCAGGTGGGACTCCAAGTAAAGTCTGTCAAATCTGCACCAACTGTATTTTTTTACATGAGGATGGATACATCTGACTGCCAGGCATTTGCCATTATATCCTTGACACTTCTTCTGGTTCTGGAATATCCAAGAACTACAAAATTAGCACTTGGCTGTCTACAATAGCACCTTCAGAAGGTCGTGCAGGATGTGGAAAACACGAGCCTCTAGAGCCCTTTACTACAAGGTATTGATAGATGTTCTTAAACCTGGGCCAGTCTGAGTCAGTGTCTCCTGTACCCAACTGATATTAAGACTCTGGTAAGTTGTAATTCCTGAGTCTAAAAGACCCTCTCAGTCTGAGGAAACTTCATAGAGTGAGCCTTGGGGCTGGCTGGCAGCAAGCAGTCTAGTAGGCCTTTCCCAGAATGCCCAGATCTCAGAACAACTCCTACCACACAAGTATTATTAGCAAAACCAATTCCTTTGGGGAATTTTCTGAGTTTCACCCAGCAGAACTGGATTTTCAAACTAATGTTCCTGGCTTTTCATTAGTTAATAAATTAATACATAACAGGAGTTGAAGAACATTCCAGGGGAGAGTTATCCAGAATCGCTTTCTCATATCTCATGTTTCCAGGGTGGTGTTGCCTCCTGCATAGCCTGTGAGGTAAAGCATCCCTTCACTCCTCTCTTTCAGGCTCTATTGTCAAGACCTGGAATGTCTCCTTCCCAAGCACCCACTGACAGCCCTTGCCAGTCCATTTACACCCTGTGTCTCAGGGAGGGAGCCCTGCACATGCTGTCCACTGAGTTCTTCAACACAAAAATCTCCTTCATCCTTCCTGAGAAGCCAACATCACTGGAATGTTTTATATTATACCTAAATTCCTTTTATAATTGGAAAATAAAATAAAACAATCAACTTGCAATTTATTTAATCAATTGAAAACTTACCAGTTAGGACAAAAAAAGGGGGAATGCAGACTCGCTAGAGGAAAATACTCCTGGTTTAAATCCACTCCTACCACTTAATAACCTTCAACTAGTCATTTACCCCTTTTAAGCCAGGATTTCATCATCTATAAAATGGTAGTTCTTCACAGATTTGTTTGAAGATTGAAGGAGATAATGCATATAAAGTTCAATCCAAAGTATTTGACACAGAGCAGGCATCTGTCAAATATTGAGTATGATTTCGACAGTACAGTCACTGCCAATCCTCAGCACATCCTGTGGTCAGGTCCTTAACTAGACTGAGAGACACGGAGAACAGATGTTGCCTGTCAGGATTGACCAAATGTCCGGAGACATGTTCAGCTGCAGGTGCTGGAGACAATTCCAAGCAGACTGGGGAGGGGAGTGTGGTATCTTTTGTTAGACCCAGGACTCCCAACTAGATTAAACGCTGACTTTATGCACCTGATTTAAAGTTTATCGTAGTAAAATTTAATTTCCAGGAAACATATTATATCCCCATATTTTTCAGAGATTGACTAACGTTTTCTCATTCCGAGAATAGTTTTATTAGACATCAAACTACATGAAAAGCTCAGCATTTTTTAAAGATTTCTTTGACAGAGAAAACACAAGCAGGGGGAGTGGCAGAGGGAGAGGGAGAGAAGCAGACTCCCCACTGAGCAGGGTGCCCGACATGGGGCTCAACCCCAGGACCCTGAGATCCCAGGACCTGAGCCAAAGGCAGACACTTAACTGACTGAGCCACCTAGGCTCCTGGAAAAGCTCAGTATAATATGCAGTTACAGTGTTTTTTGTCAGCAGTTTACTTCTGAAAGATCTAGTGAGAGTTTAATTTTTTTTTTTTTTTTAACCAGAACTGTCACCTGGGAGAAGATGGCTCCTGGTGGCCAGGCTAACTGAACAGGAAGTGCTATAGGGATTCCCATTAAAAGAGAAATGCCTAATGGGGTGCCTGAGAGGCTCAGTGGGTTAAGCCTCTGCCTTCAGCTCAGGTCATTATCTCGGGGTCCTGGGATTGAGCCCCGCATCAGGCTCTCTGCTCAGCAGGGAACCTGCTTCCCCACCTCTCTCTCTCTACCTGCCTCTCTGCCTAATTGTGATCTCTGTCAAATAAATAAAGTCTTTAAAAAGAGAGAGAGAGAAACGCCTGATTCTGTTAGTGAGCTGTGCTTTCCCTCCTAAATACACTGAGTAGGTTTGAGCCAAGTATGGTTTGTGATAATCTCATTTCTTTAATTAAACCAAAAAGACCCTCTGGTGGGAGTAACAAAGACTACCTCCATGTTACTTTTGCAATAAAATCCAAACTCTTTGTCCAGCTACAAAGCCTCCCCTGGTTGGATTCCTGCTCATCTCCTGGACTTCCTGATGATGATTTTCTCCTTTTCTACAAAACTTGGCCACACTGGCCTCCCTTTTATAAATACACTGGCCTCCCTTTTATCTCTGAAACAGACCAAGTGCCTTCCCATCCTTAAAGCCATTGCAATTGCTGTTCCCTAAGGCTTTAATGCTTGTCCACCTAATCTTTACAAGGCTCATCCTTCTCACCTTTCAAATCATCTCTTCACAAAGCCCTTCCCAACCATTTCGTATCTTATCAGTCTATTTTAGTTATCTGCATAGAACTTACCATTATGTCATTATTTCTTCTTTACTGTTCATTTATGTTTCCGTGTCCCTTTACTAGAATATAAGCTCCACAAGAACAGTGACCTTATCTTATTTGCTTTTGTAACCCCATTGCTAGCAAACACTAAATAAAAAACATATAGGAAAGAAGAAAGAGAAGGCGGGAAGGAGGGAGTTAAAGAGGGAGAAAGGGAATTTGAATTAAAGACACAGACCCTAATTTATTGTCATGGCAGTTCATGGTGTTTTGCTCACCTAAATAAATGTCCAGCAGTAGGTGAATGTGGAGCAAGCATATATGACAATCCTTGGTTGTCCTGATGAATGGAATCACATAAGACAGTGAATGAACTCATCTCTCTCTCTCCACAAACCTATTTCTCCCATAGAATTCTCTATCTCGGTTAGTTTTACAATCAAGACAGCTCAAGTCAGATAAGAAGCTCCACTTACTGCTCCCCCCAGACCCTTCTCCCTTCTCAGACCATCGTTCATTTAGTTGTTCAGGCCAGAAACACAGGAATCGCCCCTGCGTCCTTTCTTTTCGCACAACTAATTTATCAGTAATTATTCAGGGCTCTTTCTTCGACACGTGATCCAACTCTAATCACCTCCACTCTTTTTTTCTTTTTCTTTTTTTTCTTTCTCTTTTCTCTCTTTCTCTCTCTCTCTCTCTCTCTCTCTCTGTCTGTCTCTCTCTCTTTCTTTTTTAAAGCTCCACACTGGGTGTAGAGCCAAATGCGTGGCTTGAACTCACAACCCTGATATCAAGACATGAGCTGAGGTCAAGAGTCAGCTGCTTTACTAAGTCACCCAGGTACCCCACCTTGACATTTTAAATATCCTCCTAGCTGGTTTCCCTACTTCCTCTCTTGGTCCATTAAAGTCACTACTTCCCATAGTAGCAAATACAGATCAATTAACCTCACCTTTTTACACAAAACCACCAAAGGTTTTCCTGTGATACTTGGATTCATCTAAATGCCTTACCAAGTCTAGAATGCTCTGATATTTTGGCCCTGGGCTGACTCCCTGACCCACTCTGAAACACCCTGCCCTGGGCACAGCACCATTCCTATATTCTGGAACACACCCTGCTCCTGTCTGTTTTTTTTTTTTTTAATAAGATTTTATTTATTTATTTGACAAAGAGAAAGAGATCACAAGTAGGCAGAGAGGGAGAGGGGGAAGCAGGCTCCCTGCTGAGCAGAGAGCCTGATGTGGGGCTCCATCCCAGGACCCTGTGATGATGACCTGAGCTGAAGGCAGAGCTTTAACCCACTGAGCCACCCAAGTACCCCCTCCTGTCTGCTTTTTAACTGACATCCCATTTGTCTGGGAACTTGAGGTCCTGACTTTCATTTGCTCACTCCCTTTATTCATCAATCTGCTTAAAGGCTCTCTGGAGTGATGTGCTTGGTGATTACAATTCTGGAAGGGTCCATCTGTCAATCTCTGTCTCCTTACTCTGTTTCTTAACCTTCTCTTTTCTTGAAATTCCATTATGTAGTGTATCTGCCTCCTCTCTTTTGGTTTCACAAGGCAGGGCTGTGATCTAGAATACCTCCCATCTCTAGCACCCAGAACAGAACCTGCCAGAGAGAGAGTGTTCAATTAATGTTAGCTGGATAAGTAAGTGAGTCCCTGATTCTTCCCTTTCCTTAACCTTGCACATCTGATC